CACACACACACACACACACTCACTCACATGAGAACAAGAGAAAAGAAGAACTGCTATTTGCTTAACAAATTTGTTCTTGATAGTGGTATTAATGGTATTATTCTAAAATTATTCTGTATATTTTATAGGATAAAACAAATATGAATATATTTATAACTTATATAAATAAACATTTCTGTGTTTTTGGGAAGCAGATTTTTATTTTCATAGATGAGGACAAATTTCATAGGGCTGGATTTCAGCCCAAAATATCAGTATGAGACCACCATATATGATAGATGACACAGACACAGATGCACTAACTCTTCCCAGCTCTGTCTGCTGAAAGGACTTATAAGCAATGCCACTTCCACAGCAACAAGCATAGTTGGCACCTAGATCTGTATTTCTAAATACCAATCACCACTTAAGAACCCTTTAGAGAAATGAATGTTGCCAGACTCAGAGCAGGGAATTTACAAAGTAAACCTGAAAAGTCTGGTGTTCCAAAAGCAAATAAGTGCTCAAAAACTAATGGGTTCATTAAAAATAAAAATACAAAAACTGACTTGGGACAAGTTATACATCAAAAAGAATGATGATAATTGATCATAATACATTAAGTAAAAACTGAATTTGTGAGTTCATAATAATAATGTTGAGGAGAGAGAGAGAGAGAGAGAGAGAGAGAGAGAGAGAGAGAGAGAGAAGAGAAGGGAAGGGAAGGAGGGGGAGTGAGAAAACACTTTTTGTAAAACAATGCTAGCTAGTAAATGTAAATGAAACAATACAATCAGAAAATGAGGAGCATTTTAACTTTAATATAATAATTGATGTAATAATGTAATGACCAATCAGGGAATGCTGAAACAATTGGGAATTTGTTGTAGAAGAGGATAATTATGTGATATCCAAGTATCATCCCAGGGATTATTTGGGGTAAAGGAAAAGTGTCCTTGTACAATAGATACATCTGATGTTCGACATGTTAATCAAATAATCAAACCTGGCATCTCTAAGAGAGAGATAATCTCATGTGCCTCCTGAGGTAATGCAGTAGAAAGTAAAAAAATCAACTAGGTAGTATATTTGCTAAAAAAAAAAAATTTCCACCTATATTTTAATAAGACTTGCTTTTGTTGAAATGTGGTCAGTGTTTATATCAGAGGAGGGAACAATGTAAAAAACAGGCTCTTCAAATTTCTGTCTAATTTTTGTGTCAATAAAAGCCAGATGTTCCTGAATGATAAAATAAAGCAATCCTACCACACTGTAAAAAACAAACAAACAACAAAAAACCCCACATTTCATTTAAATCTTGGGTCCACTTTGGTAAATTATGTTTTTAATTTAAAAAAAAATTCCTTTTTTGAGGAATTTTTCCATCTAAATGGTCAAATTTATTGACACAGTGCTCTTCTCTTATTATCTTATCATCTGCATAAGTGGATTTCAATGGTATATCCCTTTTTATTCCCAATATTGGTAATTGTGTTTTTAAAATTTCTTCTCCTTGACCAGTCTTAGTGAATGTCTATCAATTTGATTAAATTTTTTCAAGGAAGTTTTGGCTGTTGATTTTGTCTCATTTTATTTCAGTTGAGATAAAAGGAAAATATCCTTTTACAATGGACAGCTCTGATTTCACTTTTTAACCACTTTCTATCCATACTAATTCCTACTCATATTTGTTATTTCCTTCTTTATGTTTATTTTGGATTCAATTTGTAGCTTAGAACATTGATTTGTAACTTTTCTTCTTTGCCATTACAATTTGACAAAGTTACAAAATTTCCCTTTAAGCATTGCATGACTGCATGCCACAAATATTCAGAGTGCCGTGTTTTCAATATCATTTAGTTTATTTTCCCTTTTTTCTTATAATTTCTTCTTTGACTTGTAGATTATTTAAATATTTAAATATGGATCACTTGTGTGCTTAATTTCTAAATACTTGGGGATTTTCTAGATATTTTATTGCTACTAATTGCTAATTGAATA